ACACAAGCTTTTGAATTATTCAAAGAATGCCTTGCATAATGCATTCAAAAGCTTTTTATCTCAACTATATAGCTGGTCCAATAAAAGAGATTGCTGTAAGAAATGCTTCCCTTTTTGCATAATTTCTGGACCATCACAGCTACAATATCACTCTTACGCTACTTGTAGAAATGAAGAAATGCGTTTAAGCCTTGCATGCCATTCATTAGATTACTCTAAATAATTTAGATTGTAAAGCACTATATTTTCGTACCTTATTGAAAAAATTACCTTTGAGTCCAACTCTTTTTGCAAAATTTTAATATGCAAAACTAAGAATAACATGGGAAATACAAATACCAGGCAGAAGCTGCCCAACCAGGATCATCCAAAATGAACATAACATTATGATAGCTCTGATGTTCAGGCAATCCCAATTAAAAAGCACAGGAGAAAGCTGGCTTTGGTAGCATGCCTAGGTGGTAAAAAGGATTCCCAAGTCTAGGAAAGTAAATTCTGGAACGGGGCATCATTTTGGAAAATGCTATCCTATCTTAAAAACCATCAGTCCATTAGTTTGAGTGCCGTGATTGACCACAGCTGAGGTGGGAAAAGAGACAGTGCAAAAATAGCCTTGCTTGGACTCATTAAGGGTTCTCAGGTCAAATCCAACATTTTGCATCTGACAGGTAACTGGCAGGAAGTGCTGACCACAGACAGCTGGTATAATGAACTCCCTGAACTTAGCTGAGCAGTTCATTTCTGTATTAAATTCACCCTCTTCTATAGCCTGTTATGGCAGTTAAGTCTGGAAATGACAAAGATACAGGTAACAGTAGCAGGATCCAGAGTCTTGTCTGAAGTGAGCCTCATTCAGATAACCTTTGTTCATATCTAATTTCACACAAACACTGGCTCTTTATTTCACTGCACCAGCCATGTCAGATGAGATGGAATCTTGGGGTGCATCCACACAAACGTGTACATGTCTTGCAGCATCTCAAAGCCTTTTGAGATGCTGCAAGAGGCATATGTAGGAACAAGAAAATGTCCTCACTGGCAGTAGCAGCTGCCATTGGGGTCACTGGGGTCTCGTGGCAGAGCCCTCCCCCCCACACAGCACAGGGCCCAGGTGACAGCTGCAACAGCCCCAGCTGCCCAACAGCGCGTGGAGCCACACAGTGTCCTGCCAACCCCAGCCGCACCTGCATGATGAGTCAATGTCAGTGTGGGTGCCAGGTGGTCAACGCCATGCTGTGCGGCGGGCTCTGCCACAAGGCCCCAGTGCCCCTGATGGCAGCTGCTAGTGCCAGGGAGTGTGGGGCTTTTTTTTTTTTTTTGAGTCTGGTACTGCTGGGGCTGGG